CTCACTATAGGCCCTCAGGCCTGTCCATGTGTCATGGCTAATCTATTTAGACAGGCCTGTCACAGGGTCTATATAAGTGTTGGCATTTTGGCACACAGGCTACCTATATGTTATGACTAAATGGACTACATGGGGTCATTAACAAGTCTGGCTTCATGTTTGTTACTCTGGACCAGCCTCATGTATTTAACCCCTGTACATACTTTGTAGCACTCCAGTCAGAATATCAATTTAGTATTACCCTCAACCCTGTACTACTCTCTGAGTCTACTCTATAGCTAAGGCTGAGCCTTAGTCTATCCCTGACCCCTGTCCCAGACCTCTCCCCAGCTTGCATAAGGGTACAGCACATAAGCTGAGACCAAGGGAGGTAGATCCAACCCTGGACCAGCTTCCCCCTGTGCACACTCCAAGACTGGTCAGTTTCCCACAGTCCTGGACTTGTTCCTGCACTCCCAGCCTTGACTCCAGACCTTCAGACTTTGCCCCTGACCTCTGGCCTTGACTCTGGTCAACTGGACTTGGCCCCTGTCGCCTGGACTTGAAGCCTGGTCACCCAAGGGTAAACCCATACTTGACAGGTGTACAGTGATTGGTGATAGCTGATGCCATGCCCTGCATACCAAAGATGATGCAGAAAGTGCAAGACAAGGTGGGTTCTGGGGGGCTTACACCCTTCAATGCATACATGGCATTGTTGTGCAGCTGGGGCAGGGATACAATTTGACTGTTGTGCAATTTCAATGAAAAGATATTCACTCAACATCTGGGTGAATATCTGTGAGAAGAGGACCAAAGGCTTGTGGCTCTCAATTGTAAGACAATGTTAGACTGGGAAAGAGCCAAAGTGATGTAGATTGCACTTGTGCCAAACTAGAGTACAAAGACACATGCCTTCAATTCACTGCCACCATCAATTGGTCTTCATCCATATGTAAACCCTTGGGCTTGGAGTTTGAACAGATGAATGGGGACAGTCTAGGCATGCAATTGTACATGGGCACATGCCTTCAATTTGCTGCCACCATTGATTGATCTTTGTCTGCGAGTTAACCACCTTTACATTTGAGCTCATTACAATCATACATAAATGCAAGTACATAAATGTGCGCCAACAAATCTTCGCCCGCGTGATTTGAATCGGACTTTGTAAAGGGGAATGTTCGCGAGTGTCGAAAAATGAGCGACGAATTCCGAGGTGCAGTGACCTTGTAAACAAGGTGATACCCAAACGACATTGCAATCTAACTCACAGTCATCGCAATCCAACTCACAGTCAGCGCAATCCAACTTGCAGTACATATCACATCCAAACTACCGATTCCTCAATGGCCAGACTCCAGCCAAAGAAACGTCGTTTACTGTACATTAGAAAGTCATCCTCATCAACACCTAACGTCCCTCCAGTAAGCAATCTGTTTTTGCCAGGGCACCAGACTAATGGATCAGTCAAACACAAGTCTCAAGGGCAGTCCGAGGTTCCTGTTGGAGGCATTGCATCGAGTCTTGGGCATTCGGGCCATGGTTTCAAGGGCAAACTGGCCGCTTTGAAACGTCGCTTCATCCGGCCTCGCCGAGGCCCGTCAAGTTCCTCTGCCCATCCCATCGCATCTGAAGGGGCCATTGAAGACCCGGAACCGCGACAAGTTGCCCAAGATGTTGATGTATGTGACCGACGGCGTCCGGCACGCAACAATGCTAAGCGCTTGTCTTTCATAGACTCAAGGGCTGCCCAGTAGAGCAGGTCCTGATCCCGACCCACCTTTGGCGGATGATGACCTCGATGTTGCTCAACAAGTTTTCGAGAGCATCAAACCCATCCCACGTGCTGGCGAAATTGCTGTCAACATTGTCGCACAGGCCAGTACTACGGCGGCTGACTTTCAGAACTTGAGTAGGGCCTATCTCCAACCTCTTAAAACCTTTAACAATGTAGTCACCACCATTGCAAACATGCGTAGGTTTGTTCTGGCATCTGCCTCATGACTGAATGATGGCGTGCAGGTCCATCCCTACGCTCAGATAGCGTTGGGCATTCTCATGGCCACTTCCCAAGTACGCCCCAGAGTCCTTTATCTACTTTCTTTACTCACCGCCCTTGCGCCAGTTGATCATCACGCAAGCGAACCTAGATAGTGCGATATCGGAGCTCTTGCAAAAAGTTGGCGCTGTGTACTCTTTCCTTTCGGACGACGACATTATCAAGAACATTGATACCATGAGAGCCCCCTTGGCGAAGATTGCTCAGGTGATCAGTGCCTGTGCGCAGTTCATCAGAGACTATTCAGAAACAACAAACTCTTGTACGTCTGTTTTATCTCGTTGACACTTTGATCTCATACTTTCTCAGGGAAGAGGCTCGGAAAGAACATAAAGTCTGGGACGCAGACTGCCATCAGCGACTACACCAAGACGCTAGACGAGTTGATGCAGCAATACCGAGACTGCCAGACCCGGGACATCCAGATCAACGTGTATCGCGTTCTCCAGGACCTGAACATGGAGGGCATGGCTTACGCAGGTGGGCGGGCTTGAATACGATGAAGAAATGCCTGGAGAACACGAGGGAAGAGATTCTGCAGGACATCATCAACTGGGTCAAGGATACTCACCCCGACGCCCGACGGATTTTATGGCTTCACGGGCAGGTTGGAAGGGGCAAACCTGCGATTGCCCATACCATTGCATCTTGGCTCGAGGATGTGGGAGGGCTTGGGTCTTGCTTTTGTTTTTTCCCGTGACAGGCAGGCTGAGCGTCGGGAAGAGAAGATGCTGATGACTATTTCCCATGATTTGGCCAGCCGTTACCCCGCTTTTCGACCAGAATTAGGTCGTGTTCTCGCTGAAGACCCCTCTCTGAAGACGACGCCCGACTTGTTGCAACAGTGGCAAAAACTGATCTTGGAGCCTTTGTCCAAGGCTGCAGTTTCTATCGTTGGGAATATGGTAGTGGTGATCGATGCGCTAGATGAAAGTGGGGGGATCTCGTCGAGGGAGAATATTCTGTTGCTTCTGACGACAGAAGCTGCAAGCCTACCTTCGAATTTTCGCATCCTGTTAACGTCCCGACCTTTACTGGACATTGAATGTGCTCTAAGCGGTGCTACGCGCGTCAGGGCGATGTGTTTGGATGATGTCCCTACACAGCTGGCGCAGCGTGACATCACTTTATTTGTTTCGAAGAAACTTCTTAGCCTCAAGGATACCATTGGACCAACGGAGATACAGCAGATAGTCCACAAATCGAATGGCTTGTTCGAATGGGCACGTCTAGCCTGCGAGTTTGTCGACCCGAAACGTGCCTTCGGTCAAACTGTGAAAGAACGATTCATGAGCCTGATAGCCATCGCATCGGACGAGGGGAAGAAACTTCTGGATGGCATGTATGCTACCATCCTAGACAGCGTCGTGCCGAAGTCAGGGACACCATATCTGTGGTTCCGCTCGGTTATGTGGCAGCTTCTGATGATGCTGGAACCTTTGCCCGTGGCGGCATTGAATCATATGCGCAGTCTCTTCCCTACTGAAGCAGACCACTATGATGTAGTCATAGTCCTTCAATTCATGGCTCCAGTGCTGGGGGGTATTGCTGACCACTCATCTCCTGTTCGACCTCTCCATGCATCCTATGACTTCCTAACTGATCATTCGCGAAGTGGAGTCTACTTCATCGACACTTCTGACTCAAGTAATCTAGCCTATGCCTCGTTGCAAGTGCTCGCCAAGGAGCTGTGTTTCAACATCTGCAGGCTGGAAAATTCATACCTCAGCAACTCCCAGATTCCTGACTTGGCGGAGAGAATCAAGTCAAATATTCCACAACACTTATCCTATTCGTGCAAATTCTGGGCAGAGCATTTGGAGATGGCCAAGTTTGACTCGTACCTTGCAACATCTGTGCAAGGCATTGTAGAGAGTGAAAAAATGCTGTTCTGGATTGAGGCTCTCAGCCTTCTTGGAGCATTGGGGAGTGCTGAATCCTCTCTTGCAATCACAGGCAGATGGTTACAGGTAAGTACTTCAGTTGCTGAGTGGCATTTAATGTCATCTGATGTCATGTGCAGGGCCAGGCAGGTTGTGAAGTACCAGCAGCATTAGCAATGGATGGGGTCAAATTGTTGCAGAACTTTACCACAGCAATTTCATGCAGTGCACCACACCTATACCTGTCTGCGTTGCCCATTGCACCTTCTACTTCCTTGTTGTCCAGACAGCTTATGCCCAAATTCTCCCACCTTGTACAAATTGCTCAGGGGGGTCTGCAGGACTGGCCAGCTGTGCAGCTTGCCCTACAGGGGCATGCCTCAAATGTCACCTCAGTTGCATTCTCCCCTGATGGCAACAGGATTGTCTCAGGCTCTTGGGACAACACTGAGGGTCTGGGATGCAGAAAATGGAGATCAGATTGGCAGCCTTCTGAAGGGGCATAGTAATTGGGTCACCTCAGTTGCATTCACCCTTGATGGCAACAGGATTCTCTCAGGCTCAGAGGACAAGACTGTGAGGGTCTGGGATGCAAGGAGTGGAGATCAGATTGGCACCCCTCTGAAGGGGCATACTCAGGATGCCCACTCAGTTGCATTCTCCTCTGATCCCAATATGATTATCTCTGGCTCAATGGGTGAAGCTGTTGGGATCTCAGGAGGTGGGAATGGTCCTCCTACCATGTTGCATGTTAATGGTGAGTCCATTATTTACAGCTATCTGTATTTATGCTGTTACAGTTTCTGACTTTATTCTGACAGCCACTCAGATTCATGGGACACATCCTATTTGCTTTTCTTGAGTCTCATCATATGCATTGCCTGACAGTGGCCAATTTCTTAATGACTGCACATTGGAGGAGATAACTCAACCATTCTTGTTGCACCCTGATGGCTGGATCAGGGGCCCAACAGGGAAGACTGCTTTTATGGATACCTGCATCTTTGCAGACCCCATTCTATTCAATGCATACAAAATTAATCATTCCTAATGATTGTGTGCAGCTGGACTTGAGTGAAATGGTCCATGGAAATAAATGGCAGGAATGTTTCAAATACATTTCCTAGTGTTGATACATATGCACTTTATTGTTGCCACTTACTTTGTATTCTACACACCAGGTACAGTATGAACAATAGAATGTTGTACTGGTATTTGTATTGGTATCATGAGGGATCCGTTGAGGAAGTGGGTTGTTGCAAGGTTCGCATCCCAATGTCTCATTGCGTCGTTAACAGCCTCCTTCAGGGTTTTCGAGTCAATCTCGACGGGTACAACCTAAGCACATCGAATTCAGTACGTTGATTGATTTGCATGATGCCGAATCGGGCACCTTGGCAACAAGCATCCGCGTACGGGAAATGTTAATGTTCAGAACTTGTCCCCTTGCATTCTCGGCATGCATATAGACCAAAACGGGCACACACGGTCGGATCTGCTGCCCCAGCACCCATATCTGTGATAATGTGATATGTTTTAAGACGCACGCACCTGGCTGACCGCGTGATTGACTTGATGTGACCCTGTGCGGTTGCTGCAACAGCATCAGATCGGATCAGTTGTACTGCGCGATTGGTGGACACCTACAGATCCCCTCTTTTCAGCCAGATTGGTGCACTATTGGCAGAGTCGGTCAGGCTCTCTGCAAAGTACAGCTTGCAAGGGCAGGTGAAGAACTGGACCGGCCGGGCAGGAAGACTATGCGACTCTTGACGACGACGGCGTCAAAGTGAATTGCGGATATGAACGATGGCATCGAGAAGTTCGCTGGCCATGAACCCTTTAATGGAAGGCTCAGTGGTGCCCATCTCAGAAAGGCGACATGGGTACTCCGGTAACGTCGAGCTTGCATAAAAGCAAACCTTATATGAGACAGGAAGCCGGCGCATCGACGTCAACAGTGCCACGCGAGGGACGAGGCTATGGGCAATCAATCAGTTTGCTTTGGCGCCCAGATGCCATGACCTACACTCACCCAGCTACGGTGCATTTCCTGCGAAAACTAGATGCCTCTTCAGACTGGAGGTCTTCCATGACGAATCTGTTAGCTCCAGCATCGCAAGTGCCCTGCCTGCGTGTCTTGGCGGTATAAAATTTAGGATAGGGATGTATAATCTGCACAGGTCAATGAGCACTAACAGCCCTATGCAGTCTCGTACTTGACCCACTGATTAGAGGTACCAGGGCCGTAAGGCGATTGCTCCGAGAATCGTTGCATACTCGACTTTACTTTGAGGAGCGTTCTAATGTGTTCCCTTTAGGATTTGCAATGAACGGAGTCGCAGGGATAGTTTCTTGAACGCTGCGATGGGACTGAAGAACGGAACGTCAACTTCGAAGACATCAGCTCCCCCAGCATGCATCGCGTGAAGGACGGGGACGGTGTCATCTTCTCTCGAGCACTTGACAACAGTGACCAAAGCATGGCTTCTCTATCGGACGACGTCGCGCACCTCAGACATCGCAGACGTGGATCCCAGTGTGCAGACAGGTGTCATTCCGAATCTCGGCATGATCATCGAATCCGGGTTCGCAAGTTCCGTTCCGGGACAGCAGAGCACCCATTCAGAACTGGCGAGTCCATCGACGCGACGAACACCAGCCGACGACCCTCGCGTCTCCATCGAAACTCATGGCGGCCCTCCGTAACACTATTTCGTCAAATACCTCAATGCAGGGAGTGCACAAGTGCCGCCATACCTCGTGATGACATTTTTCGTGCTAGTACTCTTATTTCTCTAGGTAGCAAATACAGGACGGCACGGCACGAAAGGTATGGATGTATGCTGAATTTTTCTACGTTGTAATGCTAGGTTTGGCTCATGGGCGTCATTTTGTGCAGCTCGATCCAGCAGACTCTGCGTCTACCATGGACCTTAGCTTCAACTTGCAGCTGCTGTTCAGCTCGAAAATTCTAGAACAGCAGACAAGTGAAAACGCCTGTGGATTCATCACATTTCGACTCTGGAGATGAGAGTGAGGACGACGATGAATGGGATTACGCGATGCAACTACATGGCGAAGGAAAGTGGGGAACGATCGACAGATGCCTCCCACCGAGAGCGGTAATCAGTGCTTAGGGAAAAGCTTCATGATCGTATGGTGGAGTTGCGTAAGATTGATGGAGACGAGCAGGGAAATGATTTGTTGGAAGGACAAAGAAAACAACGTGCCATCCTTCGAGACAAGCATAGGAAGAGAGCCGAGAAGGAGAAAGCGACAAATGAAAAAGGATGTAGATGCAAAAACAAGTGGTGCGTCTATCAAGGCGCGTGAAGGTATGCTATGCTGCGAGAATGTCTACCTGATGAGAGAGGGCAAGAACCAACTATGTCCTCGCGAACGACACCAGCACCTCGAGCAACTGCGAACAGATCAATTATGGAAGCGGAATGGAGCTAAACTTTTCATGTTGGCTGTGAGTGCGAACGACTCGTCGTTCAGATAGATTCTTATGCCATTCCCATGTATTTAGAACGAGTTGTTGTTGTTAGCGAGAAAGATCGGATTGCGTTGGTCATTCTGGCGTTCTGGCAGTGAGTTCCGCTGCCGTGGCTGGAGGGGAATGCATCGCTTAAAGAAGGCACCTTACTTATATCCAGGTGATGCACAATCTCCGGTCGACGAAGACTACCCCTTCTGCCATTCCTGTTTGGATATGCTTAGCAAAGAGGTATGTCCGTATGCGTTGCCGTCCGGGCGTTTCGTTCGACGCTGATCGGCCATGTGCAGGACACAAGTAGCTCCGGCCAAAAGCGATCCACGATAACGAGCCTGTTGACGAGCTTGCGAACGACTATATGTACCTTGCTTGTGTCAAGTTTATCAATTCCGTCTGCCTGTCCTTGTATGTATCACCGGCGGTCGTGGTTCTAACCAGTGTTTCAGATAAAAGCTGCGTCTCTCCGATGACACTCTCATATGTTAGACGACGTTTCAGCTGCAAGTGGTCTTCCGCATTCCCACTTACTCAACACTCAAGTGCCGCATTTGCCTTTCTCAAATACTTTGCACAGATAAAAGCATGGGAAAAGGTCAGCGCAGGAATGATGGAAGTGTACGCAGCGGAGGTACTAGGCAAACTTCCTGTCATCCAACACTTCCTCTTCGGGTCTATCCTACACGAGGGTCCTTCTGCGTCATCTGGGACAGGCGAAGATAGCGCACATCATGGACATATTCATGAAGGACGGGGTGCTTGTGCGGGATACCTATCCAGAGTGCTTTTGCTACGACGCAGGCAACATGATCGGGGACCTGGGATACAACTGGTTTCGTTGGGTACTATTGCTGACTCTAGTGTAGCAACGCACAAGGTGGAATGTTAATTCATGCAGTTTCGTCACTGAGAATGCGCATGTTACTCCCTAGAGTCAGACAGCATTCCGCTACTAGGAAAACAAGCAGGTGTTTGACAATTCGAAGCTCAACAACGTTACAACCACAATATTGCACCTCTCAAGCTCCGGATACTCGTAAACCCATGTGTAAGAGCGAGGGAAAGTCTACAAGGATATGGGAGTTCACTAGCCAACGAGATAGGATGTTACCGACTGAACTGGTCCGGTAGTCCATCATCCTTCGTTGGAAAGCGGCATAGGAGTTAAATGATCCTTTGCGGATTGGTGCCTCTGCTGTTAATAGACCTAAAATGTTCAGCGTTTCCCAGAAACATCCTCCGAAGGCTCCTCCATCCAATGCGCCAAGCCGCTACGCGATCATGGCGAAGGAAAACCACCGCACTCCAATCGAGGAAATTCTACATGCCCTCAAAAAAGGCTAGCGAGAAGGATCAACTCAATGACCATGGATGAGCCGCACTTACTCACTCCAAGCGCAATCGGTGCGAATGCCAACCTTGTCTCGAAGGACCGTCTCGGCGTGATGCCTCGGAGAATAGTTGACGATGTCATCATAGCGAGCGGTATGTTCTGCGAATTCTCGTTCTATATCATGCTCGAATGTGAGGTCGATAGTTTCCGGGTGACACAGGCCAGGTGAACGCCACATAGGGATATGCGCCAGAATTGATGCTAGAGAAAGAGTATCTATGGAGAATTGAGGAATTAAGTTTGCAGTGGAATTAGTAACTGGTTGTTGATGTCTCGAACGCAAGTCGACACTAAGAAAACTACAGAATGCTGTCACGAAGAAATGGGAGACTTACGCGTAGCACAGCGGAAATCCTGGGACGATGCCTAAGCGGGGAACCGTGGCATTTCGTCGATCGCAGCGTCTTGGCCGAGCTGCTTGCTATTCAGTGGAGAGTTAGTACAACTCATAAATTCAATCATGTGCAGACACAGGGCTGCGGGGGAGTCCGAGTGAGGATGGTGGAAGACAAGTCTCTGCACGCTTCGTATGACAATGGTGTTGTAACGCAGCGGTTCATGCAGGGTGACTTACCTATGGTGTCTACCTCAGATGCCAGATACCTCGGTTACTTCTTGTTTGTTATCCCCGGCCGTTCGTTGTGACGCTCTCCACAGGGGCATGCAAGGCGAGATGGAAAAAGTCGGAGCTCGAGCGAGAGGCGTTTGGTGAGATGGAAGAGGGAAGGGGACAGAGACAGCAGAATGAGCGCTGAGCGCTGAGCGTGGCTATGAGAGCAGACAGCCATCCACACGTGTACGCCAGACACCTACACAGCACGCAACTACTACTCGAACGACATTGCAATCTAACTCACAGTCACCGCAATCCAACTCTCAGTACATATCGCTTCCAAACTATCAATTCCTCAATGGCCAGACTCCAGCCAAAGAAACGTCGTTTGCCATATATTGGAAAGTCTCCCTCATCAGCGCCTAATGTCCCTCCAGTAAGCAATCTGTTTTTGCCAACGCACCAGACTAATGGATCGGCCAAACACAAGTCTCAAGGGCAGTCCGAGGCCCCTGTTGGAGGCATTGCATCGAATCCTGGGCATTCGGGTCATGGTTTCAAGGGCAAACTGGCCGCTATGAAAAGTCGCTTCATTCGGTCTCACCGAGGCCCGTCAAGTTCCTCTGCCGATCCCATTGTATCTGAAGGGGCCCAGGAAGACCCAGAACCGCGACAAGTTGCCCAAGATGTTGATGTAGGTGTTATATGGCGTCCGGCACTGCAACAATGCTAAGCGCTTATCTCTCATAGACTCGAGGGCTGCCCAGTAAAGCAGGAGCTGATCCTGACCCAGCTTTGGCAGATGACAACCTCGATATTGCTCAACAAGTTTTCGACAGCATGAAACCCATCCCCCGTGCTGGCGAAATTGCTGTCAACACTGTCGCAAAAGCTAGTACCGCGGTTGCTGACCTTCAGAACTTGAGTAGCACCTATCTCCAACCTCTTAAAATCTTTAACAATGTAGTCACCACCATTGCAAACGTGCGTAGGTTTGTTCTGGCATCTGCGCCGCGACTGAACGATCCCACGCAGGTCCATCCCTACGCCCAGATAGCGCTGGGCATTCTCACGGCCGCTTCCGAAGTACGCCTCAGGGTCCATTATTTACTTTCTTTACTCACCGCCCTTGCGCTAGTTGATTATTACGCAAGCGAACCTAGATGGGGCGATATCGGAGCTCTTGAAAAAAGTCGGTTCTGTGTACGCATTCCTTTTGGAAGACGACACCATGAAGAACATTGATACCATGAGAGTCCCGTTGGCAAAAATCGCGCAGGTAATCAATGCCTGTGCGCAGTTCATCAGAGATTACTCAGAAACAACAAACTTTTGTACGTCTGTTGTTCTCTGGTTGAGATTTTGACCTCATACCTTCTCAGGGAAGAGACTCGGAAAGAACATAATGTCCGAGACCCAGACTGCTATCAACGACTACGCCAAGACTCTAGGCGAGCTGATGCAGCAATACCGAGACTGCCAGGCCCGGGACATCCAGATCAACGTGTATCGCGTTCTCGAGGACCTGAACATGGAGGGCATGGCTTACGCAGACGGGGCGGGCTTGAATACGATGAAGAAATGCCTAGAGAACACGAGGATAGAGATTCTACAAGACATCATTAACTGGATCAACGATACCCTCCCCGACACCCGACGCATTTTATGGCTTCACGGGCAGGCTGGAAGGGGCAAATCTGCGATCGCCCATACCATAGCATCCTGGCTCAAGGATGTGGGAGGGCTTGGATCCTGCTTTTGTTTTGCTCGTGACAAGCAGGCTGAGCGTCGGGAAGAGAAGATGCTGACGACTATTTCCCATGATTTGGCCAACCGCTACCCCGCTTTTCGACGAGCATTAGGTCGTGTTCTCGCTGAAGACCCCTCTCTTAAGAGGACGCCCGACTTGTTGCAACAGTGGCAAAAACTGATCTTGGAACCGTTGTCCAAGGCTGCAGGTTCTATTGTTGGGAATGTAGTGGTGGTGATCGATGCGTTGGATGAAAGCGGAGAGGTTTTATCGAGGAAGCATATTCTGTCGCTTCTGGCGTCGAAGGAAGCCGCAAAGTTGCCGTCGAATTTTCGGATCTTGCTAACATCCCGAGTCTTACCGGATATCCAACGTGCTCTAAGGGATGCCATGAACGTCAAAGCGACGTGTCTGGACGATGTCCCTGCAGAGCTGTCGCAACGTGACATCACTCTATTCGTTTCGAAGGAACTTCTTAGTCTCAAAGACAGTATTGGGCCGATGGAGATACAGCAGATCGTTCACAAGTCGAATGGCTTGTTCGAGTGGGCGCGTCTGGCTTGCGAGTTTGTCGACCCGAATCGCGCCTTTGGTGAAACTGTGGAAGAACGATTCAAAAGCCTAATAGCCATCCCATCGGACGAGGGGAAGACACTTTTGGATGGCATGTATACTACCATCCTAGGCAGCGTCGTGCCGAAGTCAGGGACACCATTTCTGCGGTTCCGCTCTGTCATGCAGCAGCTTCTGACGATGTTGGAGCCTTTGCCCCTGGCGGCGTTGAATCATATGCGCAGTCTCTTCCCCAATAAAGAAGACCAATATGATGTAGTCATAATCCTTCAGTTCATGACTCCAGTGCTGGGTGGTATTGCTGATGGCTTATCTCCTGTTCGACCTCTCCATGCATCCTTTTATGACTTCCTAACCGATCATTCACGAAGTGGGGTCTACTTCATCGACACTTCTGACTCAAGTAATCTAGCCTATGCCTCGTTGCAAGTGCTGGCCAAGGAGCTGCGTTTCAACATCTGCAGGCTGGAAAACTCCTACCTCCGTAACTCCCAGATTCCTGACTTGGCAGAGAGAATCGAGTCAAATATTTCACAACACTTGTCCTACTCATGCAAATTCTGGGCAAAACATTTGGAGATGGCCAAGTTTGACTCGTGCCTTGCAACATCTGTGCAAGGCATTGTAGAGAGTGAAAAAATGCTGTTCTGGATTGAGGCTCTCAGCCTTCTTGGAGCATTGGGGAGTGCTGAATCCTCTCTTGCAATCACAGGCAGATGGTTACAGGTAAGTACTTCAGGTGCTGAGTGGCATTTAATGTCTTCTGATGTCATGTAAAGTGTCATGAGGGTTGTGAAGTATCAGCAGCATTAGCAATGGATGGGGTCAAATTTTTGCAATACTTTACTGCAGCAATTTCATGCAGTGCACCACACCTATACCTGTCTGCATTGCCCTTTGCACCTTCTACTTCCTTGTTGTCCAGACAACTTATGACCAAATTTTCCCACCTTGTACAAGTTGTTCAGGGGGGTCTGCAGGACTGGCCAGCTGTGCAGCTTGCCCTACAGGGGCATACTTCTTATGTCACCTCAGTTGCATTCTCCCCTGATGGCAACAGGATTGTCTCAGGCTCAAGGGACAACACTGTGAGGGTCTGGGATGCAAAGGGTGGAGATCAGATTGGCACCCCTCTGAAGGGGCATACTTGGAATGTCACCTCAGTTGCATTCTCCCCTGATGGCAACAGGATTCTCTCAGGCTCAGGGGACAACACTGTGAGGGTCTGGGATGCAAGGAGTGGAGATCAGATTGGCAGCCCTCTGAAGGGGCATACTTCAATTGTGACCTCAGTTGCATTCTCCCCTGATGGCAACAGGATTGTCTCAGGCTCTTGGGATGAGACTGTGAGGGTCTGGGATGCAAAGAGTGGAGATCAGATTGGCAGCCCTCTGAAGGGGCATACTGATTATGTCATCTCAGTTGCATTCTCCCCTG